TGGGCCACGACTTTCTTCTTGTTCGGAGCTTTGAAGTTCCTGCTGAGGTCGCTCTGGAGCTTCTCGCGCTCCGTGGGGAAGGGCCTGCCATCTATGGCCGCTTGCAAGAGTTCCATTCCGGTCTTGAGGGACATCTCGGCGACCTGCGCGGTCTTGATGGCCTCCGCCGCCGTGGGGTCCTCGTGGCCGGCGTGGTCGATGAGGTTTGCGCACTCCACGGAGCCGCGGACCACGCCGCGGGCGAAGGCGTCGGTCATGAGGCGCTTCGAGACCCGGGCGCCCACGTAGCCGCTGGAGGCGTTGTTTTGCAGCCCCGCTTCCAAATCTTTCTGGCTCTTCTTCCACTCTTGGACTTCGTTGACGGCGATGGGATTGCGCTTGTTGCTGTAGTCGCAGGCGTAGCCCGCCTGTGCGGCCTGGTTCACCTGGGCCTGCTGGGTCATTTCGCGTAGGCTGTTCTGGGCGGGGCAGTCCTGGTCGCAGCGGCCGCACGCGGCGTGGAGGTCCTCCGTGATCGGGAAGCGATAGGGCACCTGCACGTCCCCGTTGCAGCGAAGAGCGGCCAGCAAGGCGGGGTGGTTGCCGTTGAGGTTCGGGTCGTTGCAGGGCCCCCACAGGCGACCGAGGGCGCTGCGCTTGCCCTTCACGGGCATGCCCATCTCCTTGGCCAGTCCCTTGCACATCAGGGTCGTCTTTTCGATCAGCTGCAGTTCGCGGGGGAAGCCCGCCTTGCATTTGGTGGGGTCCTTCTTGTCGCGGCAGTGGTCCAGCGGCAGGCGCGGGCCGTTCGTCTTCTTGGGCAGGTGCACATGATGCTGCTTCAGCTGCTGCAAGGCCTCCACGTCTTCGTCCAGGAACAGGCGCCGCCAGGTCGGGCCGTCCGTGGAGGCGTCCGCCCTCTGGTAGTTTGGGCGGCTCAGGGCCAGGAAGGAGTCGCGGTAGGCGGGCCACTTCTCTTCCGTCTCTTGGCGCTTCCTTTCCCATGCTTGCGGGTCCCGGTAGATGGTGCGGCTGACGTGGGCGGTGTAGGCGCAGTACTTCTGGAAGAGGTCCATCTTGCGCTGCGGGCCCAGCGCTTGCAGTTCCGAGAGCGGGTTGAACTGGTGGAAGCATTGGAGGAAGAGCTGCGCGCGGAGCAAGTGTGTGGTGGTGGCTTCGGTATCTTGTTTTTGCTGTTCTGTGTGTATGTGTGTATGTTGTCTTGTATAGAAGCGGGCCTGGAAGTGGATGTGCAGCACCCCGGACTTCTGGCATTCGATGGAGCCGAAGGCGGCGTCCAGCCGCCCGAAGATGCCCCCGCACGCCATGGCGTTGCTGCCGAACGCGTCCGTGCAGGGCCTGCTGGAATTCCCGCAGTCCGGGCATCTGGGGCAGTAGCGAACGCCGAAGAGGTGTCGGAGCGCCAGCTGCACCAGGGTGCGGAAGCCGTCCGCGCAGGCCACGGGGTCTTTGGTCAGCACGGCGCGACGATCGTCGTAGGGCGGCAGCTCCGCGGCGAGTGCTTCCGGGCTCAGGCTGTAGAACTCCACGTCCAGGTCGGGCTTGCCGCGGCCCTGTGCGGCGCGGCTGGTTCCGGACTCCTGGCTGAGGCTGGGGTCGGATTGCCGGGCGCAGGCGAGGCGCAGCATCACCGCGTTGTCTCGCTCGGACGGGGAGAAGGTCACGAAGAGCGGGGTGCCGTGGCAGATCCGGTTGGCGTGGGTTTGGTGGCGCATGGTCTTGCACACCTCGTGGGTCCCGGGGGTGTTCCTGCTGCGCGCCGCCGTGTTGTCCAAGACCTGCCGGCAGTCGTTGTAGTTGTAGAATCATGCAACCCCGGCTCGCGTATGCAAGTGTGTCCTGGTTGGACGTTATTGGATTTTTTGTGTTGCGACTATCGAGTGCATGTGAATTATATCGTTACATTGTGGTAACCTCACCTTCATGTGGTGTCGTGGGATGCAAGCTGAGAGTCTGACGTGGTTTTTTTGTTGTGTTAGCTTTAACAGGTCTTTTTCACTGTGAGTTTTTGCTTTCTGTTGCACGCGCCTTCAGGGCTGCCGGTGTGATTCCGGTGGCGAAGCGTACCTTGCTCAGGTCTCCGCTGACGGGCCGCAGTTGCTTGTTGACGTCCAGGTACTGCCCTTTGACCAGCTCTGTCTGGATCTGCTTCGCGCCGTCCAGGATCTCTTGGTTGGTCAGTGCTCTGCGTCCGTTGTTCTCGTCGGGGACGCAGTACATGAAGGTGTTCTGTTGCACGTTGACCATGGTTCTGAACAGGTAGTTCCACAGGGTGAAGCCGAAGGTCCAGTCCCGCCGGAATTGGGTCTCGGCTCGTCGTTGCATGGCCGCTGCCCACGCGTGGATTTCCACCTTGGGCGCTTGCGGGTTGCGTCTGCGGCGCCGTCCCGGGTCCTGCTGGTTTCGCTGGGCGTCCGCTTGGCTGTTCTGGACGTCGGGGCAGGCGGTCCCGTGCGCGAAGCAGAAGCTGAAGGCCGTGGCGAAGTAGAGCGGCTGGAACTGGTCCACGAGGGCGTTGCTCGTGCGCACTTCGAGGGTGTTGCAGATCCTCTCGCTTTCCTGCTTGGTTTGGAGCTGGTCCTCGAGGTCGTTCAGGGCGGCCGTCGCCACGGCGTTCTGGTCCTCGCGGTCTTGGTTGCAGCCTTCCGGCAGGACGGCTCGGGCTCGCTGGTTGGCGAAGATGGCGCCGGCTTGCTTCACGTCTTGCTCCGGGGCGTCCGTTGGAGCCGCTGCCTTCTGCGGCTGCAGCTTGTGGCTCGTCTCGTCCTCCTCGGTCATGCCGTGGATGATCTTCAGCACTTCCGGCGGCACGCCGCTCTCCGGCAGCTGCGCTGCGGCCTCTCGGAGGGCTTCCTGTCGCAGGTGCTGGAATGCGGGATGCCCTAGGCGCTGCATGTCGAGGATGAGGTTGACGACCACTTCTCTCCGCACCGTAGCTTGGTGGAGCAGGGTCTTGATTTCGGACTCGCTGGTCTTGCCCGTCCTGTTCGTCTTCAAGAGGACCCGCACCACGTCTCCGAGTGCCTTGCCCGCGCGCGGCAAGCTGGGCGCCGGTTCCTCTCCGCCTGCCGCCGCCGGTTGCCGCGCCTGCGCTACTTCTGCGTCGTGCGCCTGTAGGTTGCGCAGCACGTCTTCCCATGGCAGTGGGAAGCTGAGGGCGTTGCCTCGGGCTCCGAGCCGGTGGTTGGCGCACTGGGCCTTTTCGTCCAGGGTGGTTCCTTCGCTGCGGTGTCGTGCTTCCATGGCCATGCAGATCAGCATCGTGATGCAGGGGCTCGCGCAGATCATCTCCATGACGGTGACCTTCTCGGCGTGGAGGCGTGCCGGTGAGTATCCGGTCCACATGTCGTTGCACAGGCTCAAGGGGGGGAGATCGCCGTTGCTCAGGTGCCGCCGGCAGTCGCTGCAGAGGGGCACTTCGCAGTGCTCGCATAGAGTGTGCTGGCTCGGGTGCTGGGGGCAGGCCTGGCAGCGATGGTCTTCCGGGCAGCACAGGAGGTCGCCGAACCCGGGGATGGTAACCGTCCAGTCGTCGAAGTTGGCCACGTCCCTGAGCTTCACGTCGCCGGCGAGGTCCTCGTAGCGATCCAGGTACTTGTCGATGCTGAACAGCTCGTGCAGGCGGTGAGCCATTTCGGCGTGACCGACGTCGTCGTTGTCGGCGGGGCCCTCGATGAGTCTGGCCCAGCGGATGCGGCCGCTGGCTGCCGTGTCGGCAACATAGGGATGGATGCAGGCGCAGCTGAAGCAGATGAGCGATTCCACCCTGTCCTTGCTTGTGGCCTCGGCGAAGCTTCGCAGCGCGCTTCTGTCTCGCGAGCTTCCCGCGACGGGCGCGGCTTCTCTGCATCGCAGCGCGACGGCCTCGTTGTAGACGCTGGTCAGCGCGTCGGCCGGCTTGGGGCTGGGTAGGTGCTGAGCCGCCATTCCTAGCTCCGCCTTGTGAGTGTTCTTCACATGCTCGTGGAGCTCTTCTTCCGTTCCTGTTGGCAAGGCCCATGTGCACCCGTCGAATGCGCAGAAGACCTGAGGCCAGGCCTCGCCGCAGTCCACCTCTTCGGGTCTGGCGTCGGGCGGTATCAGTGGCTGGGCTCGAAGGTGGGTGCTTGCGAGGTGCTTCAGCGCGTTTTCCAGCTTGCGTCTCGGGTGGGTGG